GCCTGGCAGCCAGGAGCCTCTCGGGGCCGGCGCGTCCCCTGCCTGTTTGCGGAGCCTCCAGTTGGCAGCAGGCAGCTTGCACCCACGAGGGGTGCCCCTGGCACAGAGAGAGGGCTCCCCGCTTAAAGTCACCCCAAGACTCCTGAAAGCTGGAGCTGGAGACGGGCCCACAGGCGCCCCAGTTATTCGCGGTGTCCCTCTTTCAGGGAGGCAGCATAGCATGCGGCTGGTAACCACGGCGATGGTAACCATGGTGAAGGTCGGGTTAAAGCCTGGCCAGTGCTTCCCAGCTTTTCCTTCCTTGTTGCCCAGAACAGTCATTTCACAAACGAAAGGCCCGAGTTCCAGATTCCATCACTCAGTACGTGGTGGAGTCCAGCTCCACACCAGGCAGCAGGCCTGGAGCTGCGCCCTGCATCCTGCACCCACTGTCCCCAGCACTGACCCCCCAGCTGCCGGGCAGCGCCCGCGCCGTCCCTGCCGCTTAGGGCCGTGGTCCTTGCCGACACTGCTGTCAGAGGCGGGAGGAAGTAATACCTGAGACACAGACTCCGTTTTATTTGTCCAAGAATCACATCGGTCGTGGTGAATTGGGGCTTGAGACTTGGGGGAGCTGACGTCCAGGGAACTGACATGGCAGTCGCTCCCCAGCACAGCGCCTGCCTTCAGGTGTTCCTACCCAGCGCCCAGCCAGTGAGGTCGGGACACCCTCCAGGGTCTGTGCAGCTGGGAAATCGCTGTCCAGTGTCTTTTTCCCCCCAAAAGAATTAAGTCTGAGGTCACCCAGGCTTGAGAGGAATTTGTACATTTTAAAAAGGGGTGGGGCCCAGCTGGTGTGGCTCAGTGGGTTGGAGCGTCAGCCTGTGCACTGAAGGGCCCTGGGCTCTGCTCCCAGTCAGGCATCTGCCCAGGTTCCAGGTCACCTCTCCGGTCGGGGTGCGTATGGGAGGCAACCGATCGATGTGTCTCTCTCCTCCCTTCCTGTCTCTAGAATGGGTGAAAAGGGTGCCCTTGGGTGAGGATTTCCAAGGGGGGCACCTCAGCCCAGCCCTCAGATGAATGCAGCTGCGCCATGTGGCCCTGCAGCCGGGCAGGTGCACTGGGCATCTGTGGCCGTGGGCAGTGCTCGGCCCTGGGGTCGGGCTGCAGGGCGGGCAGGAGGCAGGGTCTGGAGGAGGATCTGGGAGCAGCCGCCTGACTGCCTGTGGGTCCCACGGGTCCCTCTCTGGCAGGGACAAGAGCACGGTGGTTCTGTCGTAGGAACCCCACAGTCAGTGGCTTGCCTGTTTGTTCGGCTGTCAGTCCTGGGACACCTGCCCTGGCCACGCGGGCATGGTTCTAGGGTCTCTGACCCTCTCCCGCTCCCGCAGCATCCGCACAGGCACTGCACCCCACCCCACAGGGTTTGCATGTGCGCCCACGGCTGTGCACCCCTCTGGTTCCTGGTGGGCGACACGCATGCCTGCTGTGGTGGCAGAGCCGTGGGAGGGCCGCCCTCCTGCCCGCGGCACCTGTTCCCTGGAGGGGCAGCCACCCCTGAACCTGCAGCAACACCAGGGCTCTGGCGGGCTGATGGGGCACCGGGCCTGGCCTCCGTACATGGTCACAGGACCGGCCCTGGGGGCAGGTGGTGCTCAGGGCTGTGACACCCTCCCTCTCCCGCAGGTGTTAACAGAACTGAAGTCCGACAACCAGAGGCTAAAAGATGAGAACGGCGCCCTCATCAGAGTCATCAGCAAACTGTCCAAGTAGCCGCGGCCCCAGATGGAGGCCAGCTGCTGCCCCAGACTCGCCTTCCCGCAGAGGGCCTGTGGGGAAGGCCATCTGCCCGTGCCGCGTCACCTGCTCTGCGTGCCGATCTGGGTGCTGCGGGACTCCCCAGAGCCATGCCAACGGTGGTGGACACGTGCTCGTTGGCCACTCCGGC